TTCTTGTCGATACATTGATGCCTCTGCTGCCATGAATGGACACTCACCGACTTTTGTGACTCCTTCTTCTCCCTTCCTGGCCAGGGCTGTGTTTTCAAACCTCTGTGTTTTTTTTTTTTGGCCCGCCTTGGGCCTTGAAATGACTCGAGTTGGGGGGAGTGTTGGGACTTGGGGATGCATCATGACAACTCAAAGTAATTGTGAGACCACCCACCGAGAGCATCACATCAGAGGCAATACGACAGGTCAACTCCCGGAAAGCTCCCCCGGGCCCGGCAACTGGCCTTTGCAAATGGCGATGGTGTTGACAGCCAAAGTAGCGTATAGCAGCGTTGCGAGTCGCGCGCACCGTCCCTGACAGAGCTGCGAGGGGCCTTTCCCCATGTCCTTTTTTTTTGCGTCATCGACTGCACCACTACTTGGTCGCACACATCTATCTATCTCATGATCTTGGGGAATGAGGCCGTGGGGGGATGGGGGATACAGGCGAGAGTGTAGGTACTTTTGCTAGCAAATCACCAGGAATTCGCCGAGTATTCGCGCGGCCAAGCATCAACAAAGAGAGGGGTGTGGGTGTGGGGGTGTGATAATTACGACATGACACTTGATGATGCAAACCCCACGATGTTGGGTCATCTCGGGAGTCCAGGGCCCAGGACAAAACTTGACAGCTCGGGCCCAACCAAGCTGGAGCCAGGGGGGCTGTCGAGTCGATAAATTCCCCCCAGGGCAGGCCAAGGCAGAGATCGATTTTATCTCGTATGGAATTAACGACTGATTAACCAAAGAGTTGCTTGTAAAAGAAGAATTAAAACGACAAGGTATGCAAACGGCGCCTTGGCCGAGACCCAGTACCAACCTGCCGGCGCGCCTGTGGATGTGGATGAGATGTCAGTGCCACGCCGCCGCCGCCGGCCGGCCATTCAGCGGCCAGCATGCCTACACCAGGACACACTCCCGTCTTGTCTTGCAAGGAAGTGACGCCGACGGCATCTAGGTCGAAGACTTGTACCTGAAACAAAACCCGCAGGAACCATTCCGCTGGCCATGGTGCACAAACAATAGGTAGGTACAGTCCAGGCACCCAACCACCCACTCCAGGCTCGTTTGTTGGTCATGACGTAAAACGAGGGCTGCTACAACATCGGTCCTTCGTCGGCCAGCATCGCCGCAGCCTGGACCATCATGCCCTCTCGCACGTCCCTCGTTGCTCTCGGAGTGTATCCTCATCCGGCTAACGTCCCCCCAAGGAGAAGAGCCGCAACTGCTTTGTAGACCCCCAGTACCGCCGAAGCATTGAAAAGAGGCTGAGAGATCTTATCATATCAACGATCCATTGAAGCAAGATCTCCCTCAGGACTCCGCCAAATCTCCGCTCCCCTCCCCCATCTCCGCTACCCCGGTTGATCCCGCGACATGGGCTCGTGCCGGGCGGAAACGTCAATGATGCTGGGGGCTATGGGATGTCAAAGTGTCAGCTTCGCCGTTGCGACTCCACGAGGCCCTTCTGCGGTCGAATTGGAATATTTGTTTTATTAATTTCTTTTTTTGTTTTTTGAGAAAGGGGGAATGCTCTGCAAGTAGAGCTACTTCGTTCTGTCTGGGGGGATTCCCATCAGTCTGTGCAGCAGCCGAGACCCTGGGCTGAGAACGGGGTACCCCAGGTCTCGTAAAACTGCTTTTTTTGTACGACTGCTCTGCCGTCGGCGGTAGAATTTCGAGGTCACCGGGCCTGGGTGAGAGAGAGAAAGACAGGACTTCTATGCGAAGTACGTACGACGGCACGGGCCCAGGGCTGATGATCGATGGGTTGAAGAAGTGCGGGCGGGAGCCGTGTCCTTCCCACGGAAATGCTCCCACACTTCCTGACCCCAGCGCCGTTCTTTTGACGGTATTCGCAAAGCCACGCGCCCGGTAAGCATTGTCGACGCCAGTAGGTATCGAGGGTGGCTGTCATCTCTCCCCTTCACCGTGGTGATACCTATGGATGTGCAGCAGTCTTGGGTGTGAGACGGCCCACAACTCCGGATCTCATTCCGCCGTCATATCCTTCTTCATCTTAACACTTTTTTTTTTTGGGAGCACGGGGCGGCCGCGACCGTGCTTCTCCGCCAGCCATGTGTCGGCTCAGCTCACTGGTCACGATGGCGTGCGCGCGGAACGGTAGGCCGCTCTTGGGGAGGGATCAATGTTGAGGGTCCTTTACTCCTGCCGCGCCGCTGGCGTTTTGGCGATGGCACGCAAGCTGGGAACTTGGCAGCTTTGCCGGGCATGGGTGAATACATCCCGGTTTGGTAGGACATGGCCGAAAAAGGGGAGAGTCCGCGATCCGATCTTTTGGTGGTTTTGTTAAAAGAAAAAAAAAAAAAAGAAAAGCCGATCTCTCTTGTCTCTTCTTGTTCTATTCTCGGAATCAATGGGGTGAAATGTGTCTCGTGATCGTATGGACTTGCGCCGCCTCCGGCGTGCCACGTCGTATATACACTGGAGACTACTACCGGTGCAAAGACTTGCCGGAGAATGGTGCGTGTCTCAGTTCTACTTGGTGTCAGTCAGCGCTGGAGGCAGTGTTTCTGCATCTCTTCTGGGCAGCCGCTTTGGATCGACGGTGGCACGAACAGGGCACTCCTGCTGCGACGTCCACAGCGAGACAGATCCGTCCGGGGTCCGAGGCGCTGGACACGCTTTTTTCCCACACAACTTCGGCCCTCCTCAAGGGAAGGAGACGGCAGTGCACTATCTGTGTGACGCACGTACATGTACGTCAGGGGATCACCAGGTGTCACGGGACGTGCGGAAATCCAAGCGCGCAGTGGCCCTCCATCCTTGATCAGTATACCTGGTTCGTCACTGTGTGACGGTTGTCGAAGATGAAGACTGGGCCGGATTCACTGTGCTGGTTGTCTCTGGACAGCTGAAAATAATCGTTGCGGAAAAGGAGAAAGTGTCAGAAGGACTTTTACGGACAAAAGTGAGACTGACCATCTCGACTGCAAGCACTACGACTTGTCTTCATAAGCTTCACAATGGCCTAAGACCCGGAGGCACTCCGGTATTCCACTCTTGAGGATTCGACATCTGCTCCGCTCTGCTGATTAATGACTGCAGTCCTAGCCATCGCCGCGCCCCAGTATGCTCACCTGAAACTGCCGTCCACCGAAGTAGAGGTTAAGAATCATCTTCCTGCTTGCATGTACGTAGATGGATACCACTGCTTGCTGATGTGGTGAACCTGGTAGCCAGGTTGAAACCTAGAACGCTCTTGACCAGAACAACAACCCTCTCTTCAGGATTCCATAGTCTACATCTCTACTCTTAGTACATGTTTCCTATATGTTGATTCACTCATGGATGGTTCCACCTAAGCGATGAGAACCGCCTTTAGGTTAGACCTACTGTATGAGCGACCTCGTCGTAGCATCTGAAGCTAGGTCCTATCTTTATGAGGGAATGACCTTGAGCGATTCATGAGAGCTATTAGATGATCTATATCAAGTATATCGTAAATAAGATTTGTGCGTAGACGAACCGTCTCTTATCTGTGTTGCAATGACATGCCATAAATACCATTCATATCAGGATCAAATTGTACTATGTGCCTGTCAACGGTGATGCGGATAGATAAGGCTGCTCGTCCTGAGATATACTGTGATGATCTTTGGCAAATGATGGCTTGACTTTTTCTGTAATCTTCCTGTTTGACTAGAAAATGTCAAAGCCTTCCAAGAAAGATGCCGTTCCCTTCCGGTTGTCTCGCGAGCCTTGTCACTGTTTCGGCCTTGGCAAGTATAAGCATCTATCTGAGTTGGTATTTAATTCTTGGTCTACCTGTTAGGTACAAGCCAAGTTACACTGTCGATACGACACAGTTAAAGAGACACAATAAACACAATACCTGTGTTCTAGAGACACTGTGACAGTGACCAGTGATAAGGACACAATTGTCATCGTGGATTGATCAACCACAGCCCTCTGACCGCAAGGCCCTCAAGCCTGACAGCCGTCTCCGATGTGGGTCCGAGGCCCGGAATCGGTCCCGGACTTTTTGACCTCTTGACCATGGTTCGGCTGCCCTCTGCAAAGTCAGACTGTGTATGCTCAATGATCGGATATAGTAGCAATGTACTAGGCTCCTATCCTGTGGCCGATGGGTCAACTCGTCCGGACGTCCGTATGCGCGAGTTTGCGAGGCCGGATGCGCGAGATATCTCCTCAACAACAGACGCCACAAAATTATCACAATGAACGGTCCCTCGGCGGTGAGCAATCCGCCCTGCAAGCCACTGACGAGAGGTCGTTTGGATGCGTACAAAATGGCTGTCCTCCCGCTCTCTCGAGTCCGTCTCTCACACTCATTCACACCAAGACTCCAGAGCCTATTCTCCATCAAAGAACTCGACCTGCACGCGCAAACATACACACAACACTAGCCCACGGGCACAAGGCCAAAGAGAATGCCGACCTTCCTCATTCCTATCGTACCCAACAAGGACACTCAGGAATGAGTTGCTGTATAATAAGCATAGACGGTTTAGCTCGGATTTTCTTTTATGAGTATAAGCATACCCGAGAAGGTTCATCGCAATCCTATAGTGCATTTTCATCTGAAGTATGTTCTTTTCAGATGTTGCGTTAAATACTGGCCCCCATATCTGCTGTCAAATTTGAAAACTACTTCACTCCATTCCCCGAGGACTGTATGCAATGCGTATTTGATTCCACAATAATAGATTGATATTGCCTGCAAGGACGGAATCCCGCCAGGGGTGATTCGAAGCGTGTATGTATGTGTGTCGTCTGTTGTTATCAAAGCCTTATCGGGGTTGTCGACGTCATCAACTTATAACGTTATACTCGCCAGTGGCACGTCATAGCTATCCCACCTGCCATCTATTAACACTCTTATACATCGACTGAGGGCTAACCTGTGAGATCCTAGAATCTTTGAAGATTGCAATCTATCAATTCTCGCATTGAGTGTCAAAGGTACATCATATACAATGGGACCCGCCGCCCAGCCTCGAGTTTCCGAAGCCTATACGACCGCTGGTAACCCGGCCGAAATCAACCCGGCCGAGGAAGCCGCCGCATCCAAACAAACGCGCGGGGGACCGGTCGTTCAGAAGCTGGGGCCTGACGATGGTCCTGACAAGAATGACGCCTTGCCCTCCTCTCTCGGACAGGGAGTCACGCCCTCTGGCCATAGCGACGGCAGGGGTGTGATCGGTGGCGAGAGGTCTTCCCAGCAGGTGAAGCAAAACGAGAACGTCGATGCCGAGCAGCTGGCGACGTTGTCAGAGGGCAAGGTTGCGGACGCAGTGCAGAGGAAGAGCGGGACACAGAGGCATGGCGATCAGGACGCGCACTCTGACGACTACGCCGCCGATCTCGACAGGTAGGTGGATATGGGATCTGAGCTCCCTTCTCTTTGTCAAGCAGCTCCTGAAGTTTCTGTGTTCAAATGCTGATGAGAGACTCTGGAACAGGAAGAAGGCCGAGCAGGCGGAGGCAAGAGAGGCCGTGAAGGAGGAGAGAAGAGCTGGGCAGGGGTTCGATGATGGCATGGGGGCTGGGAGATCTGGGGTCCAGGTTGACTGAGAAGGTTGCCTTTCGGTCTCTATTTCCCAAATTTATCGAAACAATCTCTTGTGCGGATAGGACTATTATGGGACATGGCAATGCATGCTGGATGATGTGTACTCTCTCTGACGTCGTTGTGCGTGTTAGTTATGAACTCCAACAGACTTCATCACATATCCAGAGGCGATGCCCTCATGAGTCTTTTGAGAATTTGAACTGTGAGTATACTTCAAACACTGCAAGTGTTGTCTGCTACGTTTATAGATCGCTGCCGAGGCTTGATGGTGGGCTTTTTAACAGAGTTTCATTTTGGGCCGGGTGGGGAGCATCTCGGGCAAACCCGAAGATTTGCAATCTCTGTTGCGGCGGACGGACCGAGGCTCTCGTGAGAGTAACGACCGTAGGACATCTGAAGTGAGCACGATACGCCTTGCTCACGTTAGGTGATTATACGAACATGTAAATATCGCGGCCAGATTTCATAAGTGAGAGGTCAGAGCAAGAAGACCGTCTGGTCCAAGACATGGCTCGGTCCAGACACTCCGAGCAAAGACACTTCCAATCACATCAAGCAGCTTCAGCTCCAGGGGGGTTCAAGGTTGGCTTAGCGCGCTGAGCCTAGTGCCATCTGGAGCTCCCAGATCCCCCGCACGCGGAATGCTTGGCTGAGCTTGGCCTGGCGATTGCTGGGGCAGCTGAAAGATTGATGCCTCGGCTCCGGCGCTCAATTCTGCTGCTGCTCGATGAGAGCAAGCAAGCTCTTGGGTAGATTCTCGCTCTGCATGTGTTGCAGATCCTTCAGGCTAAGCTAGCACGCTTTTTCAGCAGCGAGAACGAGCGTCTTGTTGCAATCAAGTTGTGGAGGAGTAGTGGTGGAGGTGTGGCGGAGAAAGCAAAACCCCCGGGACGCCGGATGCACCAGCACCACCTCGACCACAACGATACATTCGACGAATCTTGACGAGCACACCTTGCATGAAAGTTACCGAGGTAAGGCGTGCAGTCAGATAACGTAGAGTTATAGAGCAGAGTCAACGTCGAAATGCCTCAAGTGCTTTTGAATAGGAGTCGAGATCTTTAATATTCAGATCGTAGCTTGGGGTCCACGCCGGATGGAAGGATGCCAATTTCTGCTCCTAACGTACCGCGCAGGATGGCACCCGTACCACCCATACCACCCATACCACCCTGAAAAGCAGGGCTAGGTGCCCACTATTCGCACAGCTACACCACTAGGAACGCCCGTAACGTGCAGCTACGGCGGGCATCACGAGGAGCTCTTCCAACCTAAAATCATTGCGTCATCCCCACCTCCCGGCCTGCACGGCTGGCCTCGTCCAACGAACAAAGCAGGTAGGTGGCCAGGTGCTCGAGCTCCCCCATGCGACCTGTGCCAACCTCCCGCCTCCGTCCTGCCTATCCTTCTCGTCGCCACCACTCCTACAAACCCACGACCTCCAGAGATTTCTCTATCTCGAGCTCGAAAACCGCTTGGCTGCTCATTTTCTTGGTCCCCGTTCTCGTCGCTCTTTGCCTCCAGGACGCACGACGCAAGCAGGCTACCGCCATGTCGCATCAGGAGCAGGGCCTGATGCCGCTGCACATGGTGCAGAAGCCGCCATTCACCGTCGAGGTATCGGGCTGCCAGCCCGTCAAGGGCGAGACCATTCCGCGCCGCCACCCCAAGGCCCAGAATGGCCTGCTCAAGTACCCTGCCGAGGGCGTCGACACCGTCTACAACCTCCTCAAGCGCAGCGCCAAGGTCTACCCCGACGAGCCTGCTATGGGCAGCAGGAGGCTGATCAAGACGCACAAGGAGATGAAGAAGGTCACCAAGGTGGTCGACGGCGAGACCACCCAAGTCGACAAGGAGTGGACCTATTTCGAGCTCTCCAAGTATTCCTATATGACCTACTCTCAGTACTGGGAGCTCATCCAAAAGCTCGGCGCCGGCCTGCGCAAACTCGGCCTCTCTAAAGACGACAGGCTTCACATTTTTGCAACAACAAGGTGAGTGTGGCATGCACAAGACGTTTTCAAATAATTTGCAATCACCAAGTCGCAATGATGGGCTGACAAGTCTACCGAAAGTGCGCAATGGCTGGGTATGTCCCATGCTTGCGTCTCGCAGAGCATGACCATCGTGACGGCATACGACACGCTCGGCGAGGAAGGTGTCGAGCATTCTCTCCTCCAGTCCAAAGCTACGGCCATGTTTACCGATCCCCATCTCCTCAAGACGACCATCAACCCCCTCAAGAAGTCAGCTGTCAAGTTTGTGATATACAACGACCTGAGCAACCAGGGTGTTTCGGAGAAGCAAGTCCAAGATTTTAAGGACTCTCACGCACACATCAAGGTCATCAGCTTCTCAGAACTCGAACGCCTAGGCGAGGAATCACCAGTGGACCCGACCCCTCCTACACCCGAAGACCTCTTCTGTATCATGTACACCTCTGGAAGCACTGGCAAGCCGAAGGGCGTACCGATCTCGCACGCCAGCTTCATCGCCTCTGTCGCGGGCCTGCACGCGGTCGTTGCCGAGACCGTGTCGCACCGTGACTATGTCCTGGCCTACCTTCCTCTAGCTCATATCTTCGAGATGGCGCTCGAGCACATTGCGCTCTTTATTGGGGGCACGCTTGGCTACGGGTCCCCTCGGACGTTGGCGGACACTTCTATGCGCAACTGCGCCGGAGACATGCGGGAGTTCCGCCCTACCATCATGGTCGGCGTCCCGCAGATCTGGGAGACGGTCAAGAAGGGTGTCGCGGGGAGGGTCGACAAGTCTGGCGCCTTGATAAAATCGGTGTTCTGGGGCATATATCACCTGAAGTCTTTCCTGGTCGACTGGAACCTCCCAGGACAGACTGCGTTCGACTTTGTCTTCAACCAGGTCCGCGCTATGACCGGCGGCCGGCTCCGATTCATCTTCAACGGCGCCAGCGGGATCGCGGACGGCACACTGCACTTCATGAGCATGGTCGTCGCGCCCATGATCCAGGGCTACGCTCTGACCGAGACGTGCGCGAGCGGCGCGCTGGGCACCCCGCTGCAGTGGACGGGCACCGCCATCGGCCCCGTCCCCGCGGCCGTCGAGGTCAAGCTCGTCTCCCTGCCCGAGCTTAACTACTCGGCCGAGAGCGAGCCGCCGCAGGGGGAGATCCTCATCCGCGGCAACGCCGTCATGACCGAGTACTACGAGGACCCCGAGGAGACCAGGAAGGCCCTCACCCCGGACGGCTGGTTCAAGACGGGCGATATCGGCGAGTTCGACAGGAACGGCCACGTCCGGGTCATCGACCGCGTCAAGAACCTCGTCAAGCTGCAAGGGGGCGAGTACATCGCGCTCGAGCGCCTCGAGGCCATCTACAAGAGCGCCGACGCGGTGCAGAACATCATGGTCTACGGCGACAGCTCGCACGCCCGGCCCATCGCCATCATCTGCCCCGCCGAGAAGGCGCTGGCCGAGACGGCGGCGCGGCTCGGCGTCGACGAGCACCGCATGCACGGCGACCCCAAGGTCAGGCAGGCCGTGCTCAAGGACCTGCTGGCCGTGGGCCGTAAGGCGGGCCTGTCCGGCATGGAGATGGTGACGGGCGTCGTGCTCGTCGATGAGGAGTGGACGCCTGCGAATGTGAGTTTCTTTCTTTTGCATCGGACCAATTGTACGGACGCGAACTGACTTGACACTGCGAATAGGGAATGGTCACGGCGACCCAAAAGGTGAACCGCCGGGCGATCAGGGAGAAGTTCAAGAAGGAGATTGACGAGTGCTTTGGATCCGACTAAACCGCGAGGTCACGGGCGAGGAATGATTGATATTGATACGGAACGCATCATGATTCATTTCTTACTGTTCAGTACTACCAAACATGATTGGCTTTTCCTATGTTCTGTCTGGGAACCCAATCCATTCTTACTCTGGCTTAAACTAGCGATTACTTGGGTAAATGAACATCAGGCTTCTTCTTCTTCTCTCCCCTGGGAACATCACATCGCTGTTTCCGGTTGGACCTGGCTCATCTCGATTTACTGAAACACGCGTGGGCATTGATTGCAAGGTTTTTGTGAACTGTTTTATTGTGCTTTGCTGACATGGCCACGTTCCTGAACATGTGCCCTTCCCCCCCCTTAGACAAGAAAGGTACCTTCCCTTCCTTCCGTGTCCAAACTCCTGCCAAATCGTGAAAAAGAAAAAGAAAAAAAAATATGAACAAAGTCGCTGATGATGATGATGGTGATAAAATAGGTTATCGACAAGAAGCAGAAGACAGAACAAGATGGACGTTTCAGCTATGAGTCTCGCTGCAGATTCCGCGCCATGAGCGAGACGATCCACATACTCATGTAATATGCTTGTAAAAAAAGAAAAGAGAAAAATCGAACTCTCATTAAAAAAAATCAGAAGACCTCAGAGAGATTCACAGAGCAAGAGGATCCCTGGACGCCGCAGACACACCCTGTGAGCTCACTAGGTTACAAACCCCCGACCCCCCCTTCAATGGGAGCGGCGCTTGTAGAACAGCATGTACGCGCTGGACCCATTATACTCGTCCATGAAGACCTTCTTGAGCGCCTCGTTGGGCTCGTTGCGGCCATTGAGGGCGAGCTTGACGGGCTTGACCTTGTGGTCGTCGAACTGGTGCCAGGCCGAGGGGTCGTCGGATGCCTCGTCCCGCACAAAGGCGCGGTAGTGCCCGCTGGTCAGGGTGCCGCCGTGCACGATGATGCAGTAGCAGTCGTAGGCGAAGGGTGCCGTGAAGGGCTGCATGTCGTCGACGAGGTCCGCCGCGATGCTGGCGCCGGCCTTGGGCGGAGGAGGAGGAGGCGACAGCGGCAGCGACAGCGGGGCAGTGCCGTTGCTGCTCGTGCTGTGGTGGCGGTGGTGGTGGCGGTGTTGATGGTGGGGGTGGATGGGAGACTGCTGCTGCTCGGTGGCCTGGACGGTGTAGGGCGTCAAGTCCAAGTTGCGCAGGGGGAAGGTGACTGTATTGTTCTTCTTCCGCGACATCACAGTGTCGGAATAGTAGTTCATCTCGAAACGCTTGATGGCGATGCAGAGGCGGTCGGGCAGGCGGCCAAACCTGTGCCGGCGCTCAGAGCTGCCTCGCGTGCTGCACTTGTCGCATTTGTAGTCCTCGAGCTGCTCGGTCCCATTGTCTTCGTCCAGCAGGTTGTACAGACTGACCTCGCCGTCGAACTGCGGGGGGATCGACGTGAAGACAATGTCCGACGGGGTGATGTTGCTATTGTTGTGGCCGCAGACTGTGCAGTGCGTGGTCACGACCTCCAGGCAGCGCCAGTACTTGTCGATAATGCTGTCATTGTATTGCTTCCAGCTCCTCCAGTACGTGAGAGCGCTTGCCAAGGCGCTGAGGCCGGGATCAGGTTGTTGAGGATGGCCGGTCCGATTGCGGACGCGGTTGGTCTCGTCGTGCAGCTCGGCAAAGAGGAAGGCCATGAACTCCTGCGCGTCTTGTTGCGCGGTGCCCCCAAAGATGAGGTGTTGGCCCTTGCGATTGCCATTGCCATCCTTGGAATTTATGTGGTAGCAATAGTCCTACTCTAGATTAGTTGAGTACAGGTACTGAGCCTTTCGGGGAGACTTACCATAAGAGTCTTAGCCTTGATGGCTTCAAACTTGCCCTCCTGCATCCAGTGGAATAGGCTCGAGATGATCTTGGCCATGAGTTGCGGGTGCGCTATCTTTTCATCTGCCTTCATCGGTACTCTCCAATTGTTGACCCACTGCCCGCTCGACAACTCGTCCGCAAAGGCCCCAGAGTTGAACAGCGCTTGGAAGGAACTGTTGCCGTAGCACCAGTTGCCTGGGTTGTACAGGCCGATCCTGTTCTTCTTCTTCTTGCCCACGCCAGCCGTACTTCTCTTAATCGACACATAGCGGTCTTCGTCTTCTGTGGCGAGCGTGTCGCTGTGGTTCTGGCGAGGGACCGCGGGCGCCGGCCGAGTTGGCGGTGAAGGCAAGGCCGCATACGCATTAGGCTGGCGAGCTGAGGCAAAGGAGTGGCGGGGACTCTCGTTGTCTCTGACGGGAGATGTCATTGACTCCTGGAGGGCGGACACGGGTGGGAATCGTCGCAGGAAGTCGTCTTTGGTCCGTATGAACCCCGCCTGTTCCGGGTCCTGAACGGCTTCCTCCCATCGTTTGGCTTCTTCCGCATCCTGAATCGGTTTGGTGGCATTTCGCCGCGGCCCAGGCCTTGGGCCAAGCGGCCTGGACCTCTTCAGCTGCCGAGCACCAACGCTCGATGTTGTCTGTAACGAATTGGGCCCGACGAGATCTATCCAGGCTTCGATGCCGCCCTTCAACAGCTTCAAAGGCCTTGTCTCTGGACTGGAGCTCTGCGTGAAGTCATATAATTTGAGAGCGTTCCAGAGGCTTGACAGTGCTATCTCTGCAGGCGTCTCCGGGCTCTTCTGAATTCTCTCCGACGCATCGTCGTAGAAAACGATCATGTCAAACTCGTGCCTCCTATCGAAGAGGTTGTGTTCGGCCTCTGGTGCGAGTATCATGCTTTCAGCAATCTGACTAGCAGATGGGTTCTCGCGCTGCAAAATATCACGCTCAACACAAATGGTAAACTGGCTAGGGATGTGCCCCTCATCGTACTGATCACGAGCTCTCACGTCGATCAGGAGAATACTGATGTCCCTGGTACCTGCCTGCATCAGGTCGACTAGGTCCTGAGCATTGATATCATCACCGGGCGGTATCACGGCTTTGGCTTTCCGAGCTGGTACATGGCCACTTCCACCGGTATGTGTAGCGTTGAAGTAGTCATGGGTGCCCGGGGTCTTGTTTTCGCCGGAAATTGAGACTACCGAGTTCGTCCTGCTGTACATGCCTCTTGGAGTTCCTGTCAGCGGCGCGTGCCCAATATCACTAGAAACAGAGCCCCTTGCTGGACTTGGGCTGTATATCGCTTCCGGCACCTTGGGCATGTCTGGCAGTGCATGTGGCATTGGAATATGCGACGGGGCACCCGGCATGCCTCTGGGGCCCGAGGGCCGCGCTTGGTGCGTCCGAGGTTCTTGGCCCAACGCGCCGTTTGCACTCCGAAGTTTGGCGAAGCGTTCATTCAAGTCCACGGCAGCCTTGCTACCCTCGACTCCACTGCTGACGACCGGTCTGATACTGTTTCCGTGGAGCGCTTGCGGTTTAGGCTGGATGGCAGGTCGAGGTTTCGGCCTCGGAAGAGATGTTGGCCTTTCGTCGTGATCTCTCGAGATATGCTGAACACTCGAGTCCACAGATTGGCTGTGGGATCCATTTGAATTGGGTGCGGCCCTGCCAGCAGCATGAGGAGCTGTCTCGTGGGAACCATTGGCCAAGTGGAAATTTGCTGGTCCTACGCCTTGTCCCTGATCCTGTGAAGATGGCCGAACCCCAGTGCGTTTGTTATCTTCCTTGATCACCACTTTGACCTGGTCAAACTCGGCACTTTTGGCGTCGATGCGGCCTATGAGAGTATTGTACCGTGCCGCCTTTCCCTTGTTGTCGGATCGAAGTCGCAGCCAGTCTTTATGGGCCGGAATGACATGTAAGGTTATGATGGACGCCTTCACGTATTCTCTTAGAGCCATATCCGGCCGGCCGAAATCCTTCAAAGACTCGGCCATCTTTATGCTGTGCTCGGCGGACTCGAGGACCTTCTCGATCGACAGGTTGTCCATCTTGACATCGACATGGAGCACGTCGTCAATGTGCAATAGGGTACGCTTGGGGCCCCCTGAAGGGGCCCTTTTATGGAATGGCCCCGGTGCGCCATTGGAGAACGTTCCCTTGGGCCCATCAGTCAAGGCGGTGTTTGTGACGGCCGTGGTGGACGGGCTCATCTTGACTGGTGGCGATGAGCGGTTTCAACGGTGAACACAAATCATGGCGCGAGAGCATGACTTGTTCGTGCGGGGGTCGAACAATTATGTACTTGAGCAGGCTCTGGCAATTGTCGCAAGGAGATCTGGGTCTTGGGTCGAGGCTTTGTTTTCCGCAAACGTGAGGTCGAGGTGAAAGGCGAAAGCGAACAAAGAGATAGAGATGTGATGAAGGCTGGTTGCGAATGCTCACTTGGTCACCAGCCGGCTGTGGTGCTCGGGGGTGGGGAGCGATAAGGTACACTGCCAATACCTTGCCGATAAGGCCTGGTGCAGACCATCTGACCGCAGGTCTTTCTCCAAAATGGAGTACTGGCCAAGTACAGGCGTGTGTTTTGGCGGACTGCCCCGTCATTGTGTCAGTGGATTAGGCCACGCATAGTACCCAAGACAGGCTGCGCTACAGGGGAGGATCCAATTCTAGGCAAACACTGGGACCAGCTTCGGGCGGGCTTCTGGTAGTCCCCGCCTGGGGGCGAATTGCATGTGCGCCAACACCGCCGCGTCTCCAGCACTGACGCAAGCTGGAACAAGGCTCCAGCCAATCCAGACCTCCACCAAACCCGACCTTGGAGCTAACCTTGCCTTGGGAGAGGCTGAGCCAGGACACCTGGATCATCACTAAGCTGTCTCCAGCCTACCACTCTTTCTGCGACATCATTGCGCATTCCCACTCAAGCTTGCAGACTACAAGTACTTTTCGACCTTCCAGGAGATCCTCGCTCCTTGGCAACAAATATTTTGTTTACTCGGCCGCCCTCCCGGCTCTTCTTTGTTGTCCGAGACAGACACATCTACACAAACAAAACGTCATCTGCATCCCCAACCCCGTCGCTGGCAGGATGATGGGCTGGTGGTCCTCCGGGGCCAACTCGGCTCTCGACGAGCAGATCGAGCGCGCTACAAGTAGCAGCTTGTACGTTTGGAAGGCTGCGCATTGCTGATGTCCATGAATTTTATACTGACCAGGCTCGTCGCTGCAGGGAAGATATAGCTCTGAATCTCGAGATCTCCGACATCATCAGATCCAAAACGGTCCAGCCCAAGGAGGCGATGCGCTCTCTCAAGAAGCGCATCGGCAACAAGAACCCCAACACGCAACTTTCCGCGCTCAACGTACGCTTCATCTGCAGACCACCGACTATCAACCTACTTCGATGCACCGGCTGACACCTTTCTAGCTGACGGACACTTGCGTGAAGAATGGCGGATCCCACTTCCTCACCGAGATTGCCTCCCGGGAGTTCATGGACAACCTGACATCGCTCCTCAAAGTCTCGGGCCCTGGCGCGATCAACCAAGATGTGAAATCCAAGATCCTTGAGCTGATACAGCATTGGGCTGCCGCGACGGAAGGCCGGTACGAGCTGAACTACATCGGCGAGGTCTACAAGACGCTGCAACGGGAAGGATATCAGTTCCCACCCCGCGTCAGCGTCGCCAGCAGCATGATCGACAGCAGCGCAGTACGTTACAGACCCTGCCTGAGGTTAATGTCCATCTTCCCGAAGCTAATCATGCCTTGACCAGCCTCCCGAGTGGACCGATTCCGACGTATGTATGCGATGTCGAACCGCCTTCACCTTCACGAACCGCAAGCATCACTGCCGTAACTGTGGCAATGTTTTCGACCAGCAGTGCTCCAGCAAGTCGATCCCATTGCCGCACCTTGGCATCCTGCAGGCTGTTCGAGTGGACGATGGATGTTATGCGAAGCTCACCGACAAGTCCTCTCGCGGCAGCGGTCCGCCTGGCTACGACAAGTCGCATTCGAGCCCGACGTATCCCCACAAATCGCGGACCTCGTCTTCTATGCAGCCTAGAAATGCGCGTGTCGATGACAGCTTTGACGAGGATCTGAAAAAGGCTCTGGCCATGAGTTTGGAAGAGGTTCAGAGCCATTCAAGGGGGTATGCGCAGCCTTCGGGCAGTGATCGAACTCCAACGCAGGCGAAGGTGAATGGCCGCTCGTCATCTCCTGCGCCCAACCCCGCAGACGAGGAAGACGAAGACCTCAAGGCAGCCATTGCCGCTTCTCTCGCCGACATGGAAGAGCAGAAGAAGAAGCATGCTGCTGCATTGAAGGAACAGACGCACAGCGCGAACAACACGACCTCGACACCATTTGTTCTTCCAAAGAATGACTACGAACTAACTCCTGTCGAGGCTGAGAACATCAATCTCTTTTCTACCTTGGTGGATCGACTCCAGTCTCAACCACCCGGCACCATCCTCCGCGAACCACAAATTCAGGAGCTGTATGATAGCATTGGAACTCTACGGCCGAAACTTGCTCGCACCTACGGTGAGACTATGAGCAAGCATGGTGAGTTGCTCCACGGATCATTGACACGAAGTTCGGGCTCTAACGCGCTTGCAGACACCCTCCTGGACCTACACGCCAAGCTGTCAACGGTGGTTCGCTACTACGACCGGATGCTGGAGGAACGGCTGTCAAAGGCATACAGCCACCAGACGTTGGGTGGCTATAACTTGCCGCCACCCAGGCAATCTTCTGGCCCCTACCCGAGCCTGCAGGGACCTGCGCCTACCACTGCCGGTCCTGCCGAGAGCTTTTATACTGGAGAACAGCAGATTGATTATTCCAGGGCAGCGTCGCAGGCTTACCCACCTCAGGGGCAAGGGCAGTTCGGCGGCTATGATAAGAGAGCATCTGTGTCCATGCCCTCTGCATACCCTCAGCAGCCCCAGAGGAGTGACAGCTGGAGGGAACCGAGCGCTCCAGGACAGCCATATTCTGCTCAGCCAGGTTACGCCCCGCGGGATTCTGCGCCTGCTCAGGCTCCCCAGGCGCCCGATTCGGTGGGGGCGACTCCCATCGCCGACCCCAATGCGAACTTCTACTTCAATCAACCACAAGCCCAAGCTCCTCAAGCTACCCCGGGCCCCTCTGAGCCTGCTCAGTCCCCATATCCAAATTTCCAGCAACACTACCAACCATCTCCTCTTCAGACACCAGCCACGCTACCTGCGCAACCATCCCAGCCGCAACCTCCGGTGGCCCAACAAGCACCACCGCAACAGCATGCGCCGTACTGGAGTCATCCGGCAGCGCAGCATCAACAGGTTCCGGCGCCGGCTCAGCCGGCTCCGCAGCAGCAGCAGCAGCAGTGGCAGCAAGGCCAGGCTGCTGGGTATAATGCGTATGGGCAGGAAGCATTCCCATCAGCACCCCAGCATGCCCCTAAACCGCAGCAGCCTGTGGTCGAGGAGAGCTTGATTGAGCTCTAGTCCAGGGCGTAAGATAGAATAGGCCCGCCTGGCTGGATTTTTCGATGTGTTGTTGGTGCCACAGAGGCTCGCAGAGCAGGTGACTGCTGCATGGCACAATTTGTTTCGCAGGAGGACGGCGGTATCTGGTGGGCTCGTCCACCAGGCTGGGACTGCATCTGTTGCATAGATACCTTACACTTTCCTGTTTGTTAACAGCGACAGAGATCAATATTGAGAAAGCGCTTCCTTGAATTTCTGTCTCACATTGCATCGAAATGGTATCGTGAAAAGGTCAGGGTCCCTTCCACTCGTGGGGAAACTCCACTTCGGTCACCTATCCCATACGTGGAATTACTATGTTAGCTTGATGCTGAGTTGGGTTTATTATTTTCTGTTTCATATTGACAATGGCCCATGGCTTGCTGAACTGTTGAGGTTGACAAATTCAGCAACAGTCACGTCATGGCTAAATATGCTGCTGGCCATTCAACCGGGATCGTCCAGAGATAACCTGGTCGTCAGGCAATCTCCACGCCTCACTGCCCCAAGATGACCCCCGATGCGAGGGGCCATCGTACGCATTGAGCAAGGTCCCAGGCCTATTCCGCTACTCTAAATCGGGGCCTGATCATCCGATTGCCGGGTTCCTCGGAGCCGATGATGAGCGATCCCGGTAGTTGAGCTCATCGTCTGACACATGTCTGGGTTTTCGTTTTTATTCCCCGGCGGCCCCCATTGATGCGAGTCTCTCGCCGGGCCAAGCATCGCCAAGCAACCGTTTCTCTCCGCAACAAGCTCCGGGGGGAAGAGAAGAAGGAAAAGTATGCGTCCCCCGTTGTGTTTCTTGGCAGTGGCCCTGCCCACCGTGTTGGCCCAGCTGAGCGGCCGGGTCGGCCCCACGACCAGCACGGCCAGCAAGCGTGCCAAGGTCTGCGATGTAACCAAGTACGGCGCCACGGCTTCCAAGACGGCGGACATCGGGCCGGCGATCGTGTCGGCATTTGCGGCGTGCAAGAGCGGAGGGACGGGTGAGTTGCACTTTGACTGTGTGGCACAAGGGAGCTGCGTTCAGGGGCTGATGTTGAATCAAAGTATACGTTCCGCCAGGAGACTATGGTATGTCGACCTGGGTCAGTCTGAGTGGTGGACAGGACTGGGCTTTCCAGCTAGATGGGATCATCTACAGGACTGGGTAGGTTCTTGCGTCGTGGCAACGGAGCTTGTTTTTGCTGGACTTGCTAATTTCCTGTTCATGCAGTTCGTCCAGCGGAAACATGATATACATCGAAAAGACCAAGAACTTTGAGTTCTACAGCAGCACTTCGAAGGGAGCCATTCAAGGAAACGGCTACGAGGTTCACAGAGGTATATCAAATCAATTCTGCGATTTAGACAAGGCTGGCGGACTAAATGAGACCAAAGCTGGCAAATATGGCGCTCGCATCCTAAGGATCAGCCGTGCGCAGGACTTCTCGCTGCATGACATTGCTCTTGTCGATGGTAGGATCCCCTCGGAGAGAGGCTTTCAAACTGGCAATCAGCTTACGCTTTGACAGCACCCCAATTTCACCTATTCTTCGAGCAGTGTACTAATGGCGAGGTATACAACACCATCATCCGCGGAGGCAACGAAGGAGGACTTGACGGTATCGACGTGTCCGGCTCCAACATATGGATTCACGACGTCGAGGTATCCAACAGGGACGAGTGTGTCACGATCAAGAATACTGCCAACCATATGTTGATCGAGAACATTTACTGCAATTGGTCTGGGGGATGCGCCATGGGCAGTCTCGGCACAGGTATTGGTAAGTCATTTCTTCTCAACCCCTGTCGGGCCAACTTCAAGAATCTCCGATCGCCTGACTCGAGAAACACCAGACATCTACAACATTATCTATGACAAGGTCTACACCGTCAACAGCAACCAGATGTTCATGATCAAGTCCAACGGGGGGTCAGGCACCGTCCGCGACTGCGCCTTCACCAACTTCATCGGGCACAAGAACGCGTACTCCCTCAACATCGACGCGCACTGGACCCAGCTCAAGCTGCAGCCGGGCAGCGGCGTGCAGTACGAGAACCTCAACTTCACAAATTGGAAGGGCTCGTGCTCCGACGGCGCCCGCAGAGGACCCATCAACGTGATCTGTCCGGACGCACAACCGTGCCACGGCATCACGATCAGCGACTTTGCCATCTGGACCGAGTCTGGCTCGAGGGAGTACTACAAATGCGGGAGCGCCTTTGGCAGTGGTGGGTGCTTGAGACCGGGGGCGGCATCATCGTATGCTGTATCGACCAGCACCGTTGGTGCCACACCGTAAGTTCATGATTTGACTGACTCATTGCGAATAAAGCAGAATTCGCTAACATGGGAACTGCTGTAGGGCTGGGTGGTCTGCGCCCACTATGGCGGCAGATCTCGCGACGCTTCCTTTGACAAACAGCATCCCGATTCCACCCATCCCAACAAGCTTCTTTCCAGGAGCTACACCCTACAGCAAGCTTTTGGGAGGATGACAGTTGTACATGTTTGCGACAAGCCATTAAATGGGCTACCGAAAGCATCAATCCTTTCTTCACAAAATACAAACATTGAATTCACAAAAGTTTGCAAGCCTTCTTTGTATACTTGTCCATGGCTTCAAGGCCAAAGCTGACTAGCTGCGAGCTGCCATAGACTCTTTGTTCTTGAACAAGGAATATCCATAACCGTGTGAATTTGAATAAGCCAATAAAGAATCAAGTAATTTCCGCTTTCGGTAATCTTACCATTACTAGAGTTGATCATACCGACTTTATTTCTCATCTCAAAAAGGGAGGAATTTGAGAGAGTCTGGGCAATCATCATATTGCGGCACATCCTGTCTTCTCGTCTTCGACTGCTACAACAGCTACAGCCCAGCCGCGCAAGCCAAGACATACAATTCATTACGGAAACACACCCAACTTCAAAACCACAATGCTGAAGTCACAAATCAACGAGCCACAGTTTGTGCGAGGGGTCAAGCCGAACGTCGTCGAGGATCAAATCGCCATAGACGATCTCCAAAGACCCGTGCACATCGTGGGGAACGCCGAGGAACGCCGCAAATCCAGACTTTTCAAGCTCGTGGGCCCGTACGCAGAACAGCAGCTCGAGTGGCTGGAGCCCAATCCCGCGCTCGGCGAGGCGCAGCACGCCGCCGACAAGCCGGTCCTCATGGAGTACATGAAGCGAGTCGGGAACAAGTCGCAAAGGACTTACATGGAAGGCAGGAAGATCCTGGCGCTTGTGCGGGAGAGGCGCATCGCGCTGCACGGCTTGAACCCCGGAGTGGAGGTGATCAAGGTGCCGGCCCTGCCGGTCGGTGACGGGGGCCGGAAGAGCAGGGTCTACCCGGTGTTCAATCGGTCAGAGGCGGGATTCCATCGCTACCGAGTCGCGGGGCGGGGACTGCAAATGGTGGATTCGTTCCCCGCAGAACTTGAGGAGGGGATTCGTGGTGAGGACGCCTTGGAGGCATCTGATGTTGAGGAAGCGAGCGCTTGAGCGGATGACCACTGGAGTGTTATTGGGGCTGATGAAGGACCTTGCGTTCGATGCTGTGGATTACTTGTCAATATTGAGCTTCTTTACACTCTTTGAGGCACTTAAGTAGGTAGTTAAGCAAGGGCTAGAGCAGTTGACAGAAGTTCATGCAGAGAAAGCACAATGCGACTCTGCATATGGTTACTGAACATGATACCGGCTATCTGTTCATTTTATTTTTGAATTATTGGTAGGATGAGGAGGTAATTCTGTTATTAGCCTGCTCACTAATATACTACGCTTGTTAGACAAGTTGGAAACAACGTTGACACTGCTCCAATGACATGAGGTCTATTTGGTGCATCGTGGGCGCCGACACGCTACCGTCGTATTCCCCAAGACCAATCGCCGCGACCGGATCCATCCCGTGGCGAGGTGGAGATCGCCCCAAGGCCGATCAGAGTCCGGATCCCACTGAAGAGCTGGATTTCAGTGGAGACCCGGTCCGACGCCGGCTTCCCCTGCAGCGAGAGAAGGTCCGAGAGGGAGGCTTAGTTTTCTGCACCAGCTGGGAGATCGTGACTGAGTACAGGAACGCGGCCCTCATGACTCACCGCGGGTTACCCCTTCAAGAAGCTCCGACAACTCATATCTCGTAACAGCATTGCTTGACAAACCTACGTTACATAGCCGGCCTTTTCATTCTCAATAATTTGAGATTTACCTGTCCGATCCCGTATCTCAGACTTTAAACATCTCAAACCCGCTGGAAATAACTCATCTGAACCGAGTCCAGGACTAGGACACCCTCACCTCACAACACCGGACCACCAACCATCGGCCTCCTTGAGCCGATTTCACTCCTAACAAGTCATTTGTTTACTTGGCCGTAAACCCCTCTCCCACGGAACCAACAATGGCACCGACGCTTCACCTAGTCCGCCACGCGCAGGGCTTCCACAACCTCTGCATCGAGAACCACCAGCTCCCGGACCCGGACCTGACGGAGCTCGGCAAGCAGCAGTGCGAGACGCTGCGCGGGCGCTTCCCGCACCACGACCGCATCACGCACCTCGTCGCCTCGCCCATGCGCCGCACCATCTACACCTGCCTGCTGTCCTTCGCGCCGGCCTCGGCGGCGGGGAGGCCCGTCGTCGCCGTGCCGGAGCTGCAGGAGGTCTCGCTCTTCCCCTGCGACACGGGGTCCGAGCCGGCCAGGCTGCGCGCCGAGTTCCCGGCCGCCGAGGGCAAGGTCGACCTCGGCCGCGTCGCGGAGGGGTGGAACGACAAGAGCGAGGGGTCGCCCTGGTTCCCCGAGTTCGACCGGCTGCAGGCGCGGGCGCGGAAGGCGCGGCAGTTCCTGCGCCGGCTGGCGAGGGAGGCGGGCGAGGACGGGCACATCGCCGTGGTGACGCACGGCGGCTTCCTGCACTTCCTCACGGACGACTTTGACGGCCTCGATGTCAACAATGGTAGGTTTATCTAACAACAATATGTCCCGACCTATTCTTCGCGCAAAGGAGGCGCGCTAACGTTGACGCAGGAACTGGATGGTCAAATACCGAGTGCCGCTCCTACGAGTTTGTCGACCTCAACGGCGAGGATGACAACGCGGCCCTGCAGGAGACCAGAGCCAGCTCACGGGCTCGTCGTGGCAGTGCCACTGGCTTGACAGAGACTGAGCACATGGAGCTCAAGGCCGTAGTGAGAGAGCACCTTAAGGATGAGTTTGGCGGGTCGAAATAAGGTAGTACAGTTACGAAGGAGGGGGGTTTCGGGTAGCTATCACGAGAAAGCGGAGTTTGGCATAAATCAGAGGCATAGATTTGTTCCTTTCGTCAGCAGTACGCGGGGTTAGACTCTGGAAACTGATAGAGAGTGGTACTGGAAGTACTTCCACGTCGATAGTGCAGTTCTAGAAACATCGAGGGGCGGTTGCGCGTCGTATGAGCTCTTTTCCTGCCTGGCGAGGAGCTAGAATTGACGAACCATGGTTCCCGTAAACACACTGTCCGACGTCGAATGGTATATAAGGGAGTGTCTACCACTCTGTCAAGGACTCGCTGTTGATATTCTGCTATCTTTCTCCCAGTTCGGATCTTGCCACTGCACACTTTAGCCTCGAGAGACCCAGGAACCTACGACTGACACTTCATCTCGATAATGTTCTCCTCAAGCACATATAACGGCGGCATCGACATGGAAGCTCAAGGAGGCATCAACGCGACTCCACCGCCCTACCAAGCGGACCCTGGACCCGGAGGGAACAAGGATGAGGCAGCATGTTTCTTGAGCAGTAATCTGTGTCCAAGTTTGATGATGTGTTTATCTCCTCAGCCCTGCCAAGACTGGGAGGGACAGGACTGGTTCGGTTCCATCGAGTTTAAATGCAGCGACATACCTGCGCTGATGAGAAATGGCCTGCATTTTGCAGAGGCCAATGTTCAAAGAGAACAAGGCTTCATCGTGTCGCCACCTAAAGGGGTCCCTTCTCAGACAGAACCCCTGACCTACTCGAGAATTTGGTTCCTTCGGAGTACAGGACCAGGAACACCTAGTTGGACTGCACGGCTGGAGATCGACGCGAGGACGCTGAATACGCTGTCGTCGATAAGAATGGACGACCTCTCGGCAGCCAACGTCGCCATGTGCAAGGCCTGGAACAGGAGAGGAGAGATGGTCTATGTGTTTGAAGCTATGGACCCGGATCGGCGGTGCAATGCTATCTATGGCGAGCTGCCACTGGAGGGCTGGTGGCCGTGGCCAAAGCAAGACGACAAGACTCCGAGTGGTTACTGAGCCCGCGGAGGAGGGCGTCTTTCCGGGGAGTCATCTTTCGGGTCTGGGTGGGACGCAGACGGAGGCGTCGAGAGAAGCGCGCGGGTCGGCTGCTTGGTAGTCAATGGGCAGGAAGGCAACTTGGTTCTTGGGCGCTTAACTGAATGCATGGAAACTTGGAAGGATACCCAGTTGGAGCGACTGTCTAGAGAGAATGATAAAACGGCTGTCAAGGTCAGCAACCTGTTAACTGGTGATGCTTACTTACTCACCAGGCGATACCTCAATGCTACCACTGCATGTCTGTGCTCTAGGACTCGGAAGGGCTTTCCCACTACCTACTTGTAAAACCGAATGGCTTTGATAGATAACTAGTCAAGTGCTTCTGCTAGCAGCCTGTCAACTTGAACTACCTATTAGTCTAGGTAATCTGACCATCACTTGCTTGTTTCGTACAGAGAAGTGAGGACTCCCGGAGAGCGCATCGCCGTTGGTCCAGTGTTTCAAAGATAAAGCGCTGCCCGCTGTGCACCAATTGACGGCTGGCGGCGCTGTCTCAGGACGTCGGAAAGAGCTTAGCGCCCATGTTCCTGCATCCCAGTGGCCAGTGGGGGATCCAGATTCGCCAGGCTCGGCCCAGGTCTCACAAGCTCGACAAGGCAGCACACAAGACCCAACAAGGCACGGCCGGCCACTGGTTGGCACTTCCCCAACCCCTCCGGCCCCCCCCCACAGCGGATAAAGCGGCTAGCGGCGCCCTGGCTTAAGCACGCGTTAGGCCACATTGGACCCCCAGCTCCACCAAAACCCCCTGGACAGGACCCCTGACAGCTCTGCCATTCTGCCCAATCGCCTTCGAATCCTGCCCCGGCTTGGACCTCGACTCGGCCCCAAGTCAAGCTTTAGGAGAGATTGTCCTGATCCTCCGTGCTCACTGCGTGCGTGTGCTGCCGCTTCTTTATGCGAATCGGGGGAGGTGGTGTCAGTGTTGGGTGTCCTTCCCCTTTCCCCTCTCGCCATTCATTCATTCCAACAAAGGGCCGGCCGGACAAAGAGGCCTCTCTCTCTCTCCATCCTCGTCGTCTGATGTCCATCTGAACAAGACATCCATCCATTCCTCAGCGGTTTGCTGAAGTCCACTCATTCATCATCCATTCAGCCATCCGTCAATTGACTCGACTTGCTTGCTATTGTCGCCCACTCTCTCTTATTGTTTGCGAAAAAAAGCCCCGACCAGCAAGGCACGCACGGCGCCTTGTCTCATCCCTCCCTCATTTCTGATACCCCATCCCCTGCGTATACTGCTCGGCGATCAAACACCAGCTCCTCGGCACCCCGTCAATCATCGCCTTGCGTCTCGTCTGCCTGGCCCTCCTGCGTCCCTCATTGCTTTCCGTCACTCTCTCCGGCGCTGCATCCAGCATCTCAGCACTCTACCGACCAAGTTGGTAGTTCGCTTGGGCCTGAACCAGGCTCGCACCCTGTCCACTGTCGGCCCATTCTCCAGAGGAGAAGCTATGCGTTGATCCGCCAAGAAGAGCTGTTCCCACGGAAATGTCGCCCACAGTCTGAAGGAAGACCAACACGTCTCGCCGTGTTTCGCATCCCTACGCTCGCTCTGCCTCGAGGCACAAGGGGGGGGGCGGCCCTCAACAACAACAATTTGTTGCGTTCCCTGGTTGACGTCTTTCCCTTCTCTACCCTGCACCGGACCGGCGCTTGCCCCATATACCATCGTCGTCGTCGTCTCTGCGCGACTTCGTTCCTTCGTCGACAACAGCACAGTCGACTAACTTCGCAGGCGAGGAACGACTGTGCGGACGGCGGGACCGGTTCTTTCACGTCTTTCAGCGATACCGGTATCTCGAACAGCGACACGATACCCAAGGGGAACGACCGGTCGACCTTGACCGCCGACACTCATTTCAGTCCAATTTGATTCTAGGGACGCCTTCTAATCAGACCGTGCGACTGCGTCCACGGCTGTCCTTCCTTTTTTTGTTTTCAACTTTACATTCTCCATCTATTAGGCCGGTTCCTTTTGAAGCAGCTCGCTGCGTTCAGTCATCGTCATGGGTTTCCTGAGCCACTCACGGAAGAACGAAGAAGTTCGCCCCGAACAGAAGTGGGACTACATTGTAAGGCACTGTTGATCCCACATGGATGTCCAATTCGAGATGCGGCTTGCTAATCGTTGTGTGTTTGTGTGCGTCGTGGTGTAGAGCATCAATGACTTCAAGTCCACATCTTGCTTTACGCCATTCGCCTACGGGTACCTCTATTTCATGCTCCTCATCTCCATCGCCGTCTACGCTGTCGATACCTTCACTGCCATCAACTTGTTGGTCTTCGACAGATGGTCATCTGAGATCGACCCTACCCAGCTGATCCCGCGTACTGTTTCGAAATGGATCTTCTCGATCTGTATCATTCTGTCGGTCGTGAACCTGGTGTATGAGCACATCCGTGCGCAGCGGGTCATGCGGCGCGGCAGCGTCGCCGAGTGCTACCTGGACAACCTCGCAGTCCGACTCGAGAGTATCCGGATGGGCAAGGGCAGGGGATGGAAGCGCTTTCTGGTCTTTGCCGAATTGACTAAGAGCAAGAAGGGAGCCGAATACGTCGCGCTGTTCACCTACTTCAGCTTCCAGTCGTGGGTCCGTGTAGTCATATGCTCGGGTCCCCGACAGGCAGTCAACGCCCTGACACTCCTCTCCGTGTACAATGCTAAGATCTCTGCACACGGTGAGACCTTCGAGGGAACGCTTCTTGACTTCTTCGACAAGATCAGGGCGCTTGCAGAGCAGGACTACCGGCAGGCTCTGATCCTGTCCGGTATGTGCTTCACTCTGGTCATCTGGGTTTTCTCGGCTCTCTCACTGCTGCTCGCCGTTCTCTTCTTCATTTTCTTCCTATGGGGTTACATTCCTCGCGAGGATGGAGGTCTGACTGGCTTCTGCTCTCGCAAGATTAACAAGCGTCTCATGACCATCGTCTCGGCCAAGGTCAACAAGGCCATCGCCGAGGAGGAGCGGAAGCGGCAAAAGGCCGAACTCAAGGCCGCCAAGAAGGCAGGAGAGCTCCCGCCCATGGAGCTCAAGGCCACCATTCCCAATGTCAGCGTGGACAGCCTACCGCAGATGCCCACACTTTCGCGCAACGACACCATGAACTCACTGTCTGGCCAATCCGCACCCCCTCTGGTCTCGGCTGCGAGCTTCGAACTGGGCTCGATGGACCAGAAGCGCCCGGCGCCGAGCCGCAGCGGAACCATGGCCTCGACTGCTTCCAGCTTCTCCTCGAGGGCTCCGCTTCTGGGGCATGCCGCCGAATTCGGTTCGGGACGCGCATCCCCGGCTCCTTCGATCCCCGCCATCCCAGACCTCGGTGCTCTCCCACCTCCAACCCGCACTGGCACGGCTGCCTCTAACCGCAGTTTTGGCGCGCCTCCCTCTCAGCTAAGCCGGAACAATACCAACGGATCCGGCTTTGGTGCCGGCTACACCGCAAGCCCGGCTACCTACTCGTCAGATACAATGCCTCCCATGCCATCCATGCCCCAGCCCATGCGGTCACCGGCTGGTGGGCCTGGCGGATACTCGCGACCCCCGTTTGCGAACCACTCGTCCAACCTGTCCGGCTCGAGCATCCGCTTCAACCAGGACGATTACTCTTCGACCGGCCGTGCTAGCCCCGCGCCGTCGATGGGATCGTACCGTTCAGGACCGACCTCGCCTCGGGGATACGGCCCGGCCAATGGCGCCCCGTATCCCGTCCGGAGCGCAACCGGCCCCATGCCGGGACCGCGTGGACCTGGCCAACAGTACCCCCAGAGGAATATGACAGCTCCCGTCCACCAACAACAGCCGTCAAACGGCTCATTCAACAGCTTCAACGACATGCCCTCGCCAAGCAGCCAACGAGGCCCCGCGCCCTCGAGGCCGGGTTTTGGAAGCGGCTGGAACACGGATATCGAGTCGCAGAGGGGCCCTGGACGGTACTAAGGATAGACACGGTAAACGGGACGATACGATAGAGAGCTGCGGTTCTTGCATCATAATTCGACTTAATGATATTTTGTCAATGGTTGGCAGGGCGGAGGAATTACGTCTGCCCTTCATGCATTCTCATCATCTGGCATATGCCTGGCGGTGATCTCTGGCTCAGCGACATTTGGCGAGGGGAGGTGGATGGAGCAAACCTGGATTGGAAACGGCTTTTGTGTAAAGAGCCAGATGGATGACTTCTGGAAAAAGAAGCAGAGGGGATGGATATCCAGGCATTCTTTCTTTTCTTGTTCACCCACGACACACACGCCTCTATTTGAAGGGGCGTATACATGCAGCATTAACTTTTTCACAATATCATGATTTTCCGCGATGATACCAAACAACTACTTCCACCCTTTGGCATCTTCTTGTGACGTTCCTTGGACAGGCACTGTGAGAGAGAAGGAAGATGGCAAGGAACAGAATGGGTGGTGTTATGGCGTAGCTGGTGGGCGCCATCCATTACGAATCGCCAGCCGGCCCCCGCTCGTCCACATTACTAAGGAAGCTTACCGGACTTGTACCCTTTGGGAAAGTTTGTTCGAGATGCGCCAACAACAAGCGTGTGTCGAGATAGTCCACCAAGATGCTCGAGTCTCGGGACCAAGTCTGTTTCTTCCATTTGGAATCTGGGTTCATGCGCCCTTTTGTAATTTTATTTGCAATTTCGTGATTATTCAGCAGAGCGCATCGGGATTTGCCTGGACTCGAAGCGCCGAGTACTCTCGTGCAAACTCGACGGTAATTTGTTGCAACGGGTAGGCTATTGATCATGGCTACCGGCATATCACCGATTTTCGCCTTTTGACCTTGACGAAAAGTCATAGTTAACAGGCAAGACGACAAATATCATCACGGATGGATGGAATGACGAGTGAGCGCGCTACGTGACACTCAAGCACTCAGTCAAGGGGAAAGAAAGCTGGATATATATCTAGCTGGGCATGCCATTCTCACCGTCTCTCACGAGACAATTGCTTGCCCAATACACCTACCTGATATTCCTGATATTCCTCCTCTTGATCTCACCAACGATATCATCATCATCCTCGGCACCATCCCACAACCACACCCTCGACACCCGGCTCCTCTTCCTTACCCCGCACATCTCCCCGGACTTCGCCTCCTTCTCTTCATCTTTCTCCCCCTCCTTATCACAGCACAATAACGACGGGATGTCCGTCCTGGACGAGCACGCCGCCGCCTGGCACCCGGGCGAGTCGGCCGTGCGCGCCATGCTCCGCGTGCCCCCGGACCTCAACCCCACGGCGCGCCGGTTGAGGTACTTGGGGCAGTTGCCCAGGCTGCCCTCGACCAGCATCGCGAGCTGCACGTCGGCCAGCGCCTTCTCGCCGTCACCGCTGCCGCCGTCACCGCTCGTCTCCGCCAGC